ATGGTATGTGATGATCATTTTTTTTCTCTTCTTTTAATTTGTGCCGCCCTGTTTGTTGTCGGACTTGTCATTGTCCATCACTACTAAAGTTTCATTTTGAAACAAGCAATCTGATATCACATAGGATACCTTTTTGCCTTCGACCTCGATCAATCTACGTGTCTTCCTTCTTTTCTTCTTCTTCTTCTTCTTCTTCAATCATATAAGCAGCTTAATGCAAAAAAAAAAAACACATATATATTCTGTAGACCTCCATCCAGTTCCTCTTTATATTGACTTGATTATTCCGCTATGAATATCGATACTAATAAAGTCATACTAACAAATATATGCACACGCGTGTGTGTGTGTGCAATATTGACCGAGCACGATCAACATTCGTTCGCTTTGTCATTCAAATAGTAACAGGCACTAATCTTTGACAGGCAGGTAGTCTCTCTTTCTCCTTCTTCTTCGCTTATTTGTTTGTGGTCGTTGTCGTCGGTTGAATGGAACCAGTAATATAGTCGAATAGCAATTTTCTTCTTTAGCAAATAGAGCGTGCACAAATGTCTATTGAAGATTATAAAAATCTTCGACAGAAAGAGAAAAAGGAACCTACATCATACAATCATATGAGTAGTGAAGCTTAACACAAGGATTTTGAATACGCGAAACGGCGACGACATTTACCTATCGATTGACGAGGTCGACTACATTCACGATCCTATTGTCTTCATTTCTATTCACATACAATAAATGACATATCATTAGAAGATACACCTTTAGACAATGACCAATTAGATAGCCCAAGTGTCTTGTTCACACATATGAATATAAGTGTGTGCTCATCTTTATTTTCAATTTTTCTTCTTTTCGTTTTCCTTTTCTTTTTTTTTTTTTTTTACTTTGAAAAGTTGACATGTAAACGTCATTTCTTTTAATGTTGATTTAGGATGAAATCACCTTGCTTACTGCCATTTTCGATATATAACTTTTGCCTCGGTATTTTACGTGTATAAAAAGTAACAAAAAAAAAAACTTAAGAAGAAGAAGGAGAAAAAGGTACATTCATAGACATTATAAAGAAAATTTTCGGGCGTGGATTGTATTTTCACTTTGTATTGACTTTTTTTCTTTGATTCGAACCAATGAGAATAAACTTGCCTTTTTTCTTTTAATGTCATGAGCCAAAATCGATGACTAGAGAAGTAATAGAAGAAGAAAAAAACGACAGAGAAAGAGAGAGAAAGAGAGAGAAAGGAAATATATATGCATAGACATATCAAACACCACCCAATGAATTGATTTTGTATGCACACTATTCTCTGAATGGTTGTTCGACTTTTTGTCGTTCTCTTTTTTTTTCTTTTAATAAAAAGTGGCCTATCCATTTCAGATTTTGATTTCATCAATGAACGGACATCGACAAATGAATAATACAACATCAAGTAATTTAAAGATTTTTTTTTTCTCGAATAAGATATCCGATAGAAAAAAGACTTATTTTTATTTAGGTCGTATTTTGACAGATGTTCCTTGTAAAGTATGTCACGATAATTCATCAGGCAAACATTATGGAATATTTGCATGTGATGGGTAAGTTTAATGAAAACCGAGAAAAAAAAAAAAACAAAATAGTTTCAAATTTTTATTTTTGTTTTTTTTGTCTTTCTCTCTGAATTATTTTATCATCAGGGTATGTGCTACCTTATTTTCTCTTTCTATTGTTCGTCTTTATGTATGTGTGTCCTAAATGTTTCTTATACTTTTTTTTTTTTTGTATGTGTCTATATACTCATTGATCTATGGATAAAAAAACAATTCTCTTTTTTCTTTTCTAAAAAGATGTGCCGGATTTTTTAAACGTTCAATACGACGAAATCGACAATATGTATGTAAAAATCATGGATTAGGAAATTGTCCAGTTGATAAAACTCATCGTAATCAATGTCGAAGTTGTCGTTTAACACGTTGTTTAGAAGCTGGAATGAATAAAGAAGGTATTTGTTTATTTTTAATTTGGGTGTAGACAGACAGAATTGCTTTACAAGACTTTATCACAAATTTTTCTTCTACTTATTCGACACTACTTCATCGAATATTTATCCACTTCAAAGTGTGTTAGTTCTTCAAATGACTAAAATGAAAAAACATACCTAAAGCAAAAATAACTTTTTAATTTTTTTTTTTCTTCTTCTTGTTTTCAATAGCTGTTCAACATGAACGTGGCCCAAGAAATTCAACAATACGAAGACAAATGGCTTTATTACTTAAAGAATCGAGTGATTTAATTAGTGCATATCATCAACAACATAGTTTTCCTCATCGACATCATCCAATACCAGCAACATTTCATCATCCATTATCATCGTCATCATCATCATCATCAACAAATGGTATTGATTATAATAATATATCAACAAATTCTTCACTTATTCATCCAATACCAAAATATCCATTAGATTTACGTACATCAATTATTGAACATCAATTTGATGCTCATGAAACAGCTGCAAGAATTTTATTTAATGCTATTAATTGGGCTAAAACTGTACCAGCATTTGTATCATTATCCAATCATGATCAAGTATGTAAATTGGAATCTTTATTTTGTCTGTTAGGTTAATTTTCTTTTTTGCTTTTCTGTCATTATAGCTTTCATTACTTGAAGAAGGTTGGCGTGATTTATTTATTTTAACTGCTGCCGAACAACAATTTTCATTAAATATTACTGATCTTGTCAATAAATCAGGTAGAATTAGTCTTTTTCTTTGAATTCCTTATTTCTATAATAAATTAATTTTAAATTCTTTAAAAGGTAAACATGAAAGTCTTAAGTCAGATATTGAACATTTTCAAGATTTATTAATTAAATTTAAACATACAGAAATCGATTCAAATGAATTTATTTGTTTAAAAAGTCTTGTCTTATTTAAAACTGTTCTTAGTAATTGTCAAACAATGACAAATCCACAATTACAAGATCTACATAGCATTGCTTATTTACAAGATCAAGCACAAATATTATTAAATACATATATTAATAAACAATATCCATCACAACCATATCGTTTTGGTAAATTATTACATTTACTTGCTGGTTTACGTTCAATATCATCGTTAACAATTGAAGAACTTTTTTTTCGTAAAACAATTGGAGATAAAACACATATGGAACAACTTGTTAAAGATATGTATCAAATAAATATGGCAACAATTGTAGCTAATTCATCATCATTGTCTTAGACAAGAAATTGTTTTCTTTTCTTTTTTTCTCGTTTTTCGTTTTTTTCTTTTTCTTTTCCTTTGTTCCCGGTTTTGGGTATCAATAATTCATTTTTTTTTTGGGTTTATTTTTTTTTACACAGTGCTATTTACGGGCCATTTTCGTTTCTCTCTCTCTCTCGGGCACTTTTCTTTTTATTGTCATCATCATCATTCTTTCTTGTACTACTTGTTATCACGAGATGAGTTGAATAAAAGAATTTTTGTGTATACACTATATATATATATATCGCCTGCTTTTCATTCCGTAGGCTAATGGAACAGTCATTATTCAGTTTTAATCTATGTTAAGAGAGACAGAGCGAAAAAGACAGATTTAAGACATGTTCTCTCACTCTCATCAATTTTAATTTGAGTCAAGTATCACAAAATCGGAAATCAACGTTTTTCTCTCTTTCTCGATAGGGGTGGAGTTTAATGTAAAGACATCACCTTCGCTTTCACGCGTGTGCCTGTCCGATTTGACTACCATTGATAATTAGGTAGGGGTCATCTTACTTATTTTCTAATGAAGACAAGCATAGCCTATAGTTGATGATTTATCAGATGAATGAACTCTGCTAGTATATGTGTCGCGTCAACATGAGTCCACACGTGTCTATTCGATGATCGGTAATAACAACATTGAATGCGTCAAATTTTGCCATAAGCTCAATTGTCACTTGCATTTCTTTTCTATCTTGGAGAGAGAGAAAGAGGAGGAGGAGATGAATTGAAAATTCATCAAGCACAAACTTCATTTGATTATATAATTTTAAATGTATTGAACCACATAAATTGTTTGAAAACAAAAAGTTTTTATTTATCAGTTAAGTATGAAAAGTTAGTTTGAATATTTTTCCCAATAGATCTATTGATCAAAAAAAAATATTCTTATTATTTATATTGAAGAAAATATTTGTAAGAAAGAAAACAACACTCGACATTTTTTATTTTATTCTCTGTCATACTTATCCGAGATTAAGTACTGTTACAATGCTTAAATCTTCTTTATTTTAATTAACTATTTCAAACCTCCTGATGAGTGACTAGATTTTATATAGAAAAAGTGGATAAATTCGGATTAAAGATCAAATTGAAATTTTTTTAGTTTTGTTTTTCTTTTTATTATAGATTTATCCGTATTATATTCACAAAAAGACTTCTAGTTGTATCTTATTTATATCTGACTAGTAGTATGTTTCATGTGATGAATAAGTTAAACAAAAAAAATAACAATTATGTTTTTTTTTTTGTTCTTTTTCACTAAATTGTTCATCATCAATAGTTCATGTTCTATAATTACACATGAGGGTATTGTCCATTTGTTCGTCTTTGTTCTTTTCTATGCATGTACTTACATGTCTCGTCTACCTTCAATTTTGAGTTTCTCTCGTGTGCTCAATATGTGAAATTGCCTTGAGGGTAGAAAAGAAAGACCAATGGCTGATCATTGATTGTTAATTGGGGACGAACGACTAATTACTGGCTCGTCTAGTATCAATTACACGGAGGAGGAGAAATATTTCTTCTCGTTCAATTAAAATCGAAAGTAAAATATATAATGTGTTGAAAATCTTTTTTATCAATAATAAGAATAACATTGATATGCGTTAACTTTTTTCTTTGCCATAAGCTTTACTTAAAAAATTGAAATTCATCAAGCACAAATATTCAAGAACTGACATTACATTCGATTATATAATTCAAATTTATTCATGCATATGAATTTTTACAAATATAATCTATGAAAATTATAATTTTTTACGAGCTTTTACATCGCCAGTATATGCTTTAAAACGACTATCGATTTGTGTACGACGTTGTTTAACTTCAGATTCAAGTTTTCTTAACTAAAAACCAAAATAAAGAAATTAAATAGAAATATAAAACTATTCAATATTTTTTTTACTTCACGTAATTCAAGTTCTGCTTGACGTTTTTCTTCATATGCATTTCCTCGTACTTCACCACGACGTTTAAGTATTTTACCAGTTATTTCACGTATACGATCTTGAATTTGTCGATCACGTATACGTCTAAAGACAAAAAAAAGAGATCAATATAAAACATATTTCGATTCGATCATGATTAATCATTTAAAGAATTTATTCTTAAATGATTATTGGTTGAGTAGAACTTATATTAAAATTCGTTATCAACTAAATAATATGTCAGTCAATCATCATTGTTATATGAAAAACGAATAACATACAATTTACAACTACACTTGCTGTAATTGACTATCAAGGTTTATCATTAGCAATTCAATGTGGTAAAAAAAACAACTTAATTTATTTCATTATGCATCATAAATATTGATAACTTTCTTATTTTTCATGTTCTTATGTTTAATATTAAATATGATTATGAATAATTGTAAATGAGAATGTCAACTATAAGAAATAAATTTTTTCAAGTGTACTCAAAATAATAATTAAATATTCTATGATTTAAAAGCGAATTATTTTTATAAATCATTAATCAGAATATAATTCAAAAGAGAGAGATGATTCCAAAAAAAGTGCTTGTCATCAAATAAATAAATAAAAACGAGTATTGAAGAATTTCTTCCGATATGATATAAATCAATTCTAGAATGATTCTCTCTAGATCGGAATCCCCCCCCCCCCCAAAAAAAAACTACAATTATCAGGACCAGGTGATTTATATAAGAAATCACTACGCTTTTTTTTTTAAACTAAAATTCTACTAGAATAATGTTAAATTCTTGATTATCAGTTGTATTTACCTTTCTTCTTCTTCGCGCATAGCACTTTCCGGTGAACGATTACGTCGACTTTCATATCTGATTGCTTTTTCGACCATTTCCTGTTGATCTTTGTCCATAACGGAAATATAATGAGGATCAATACCGAATGGAGCTTGTACAACTGCTTCTTGATAATCTTTATTTATTTTTTTTTTTTGAAATGAAATATATTTGTTTGAAAAACAGATTTTTGAAAATTACCTTTGCCTTTAACAAGACGTTTTCGATGTAATTTTTGTTGATTAGAACGATAATCTTCTTTCCAGTCATGTAATAAATCTTTACTTTTTACTTTTTCTAATTCTTCATTTATTTTTATATTATGATGCTTTGATAAAAAAAAATAAATAAATAATTGATTATTATAAGTATGAGAACATACTTTCAAACGTATAAGTCGTTGTTCTTCTTGTGCTCGAGCTGCATAAGCATCTCCCACCGGATCATTTGATATTGTTTTCGTTGGTTGATTGTTTTTTTTTGTTATTGTCTTTGTTTTTCTAAACAAATAAAATATTAGAGAACAAAACAAAAAAAGGAATTCTTCTTCTTTTTTTGATTAAATTAAGATAACAACACTTGAGAAACAAATGCAGCTCACACACTCTCTCTCTCTCTTTTGCTCGTTATTGCAATAGCAACAAATCAACCAGTCAAACATAGTGGTACAATCAACAACAGGATACAAAAAAAAAAGCAACACGACAGAGAGAGAGAGAGAAAGAACGATTGAAAGTGCAAGACGTGCACAGACTCGTCGACACTAATTTGCTTTTTTTTTTTTTTTTATACAAACAACCAACATACACTCGAGGTAGTTTGATATCAGACTTAGTTCGTCGTCGACATGATGGTGACGGATGTATACGCATTTCCGAATAACTCACTCTCTGATGATGTATACATGATTGAAGATGAGTAGTTAACGGATTTGTAGTAGCTGATTTATAGTAGCCCGATTCAGATCTATATATGTAAATAAGGACTAGATGAGCAAAACTAATGCTCAAAATCATTTCACCAAAAAATAATAAAAAACATGATGAATGATTTTATTATTTTTTTTTTTTGGTTACTATCAAAATACTTAGATTTTCGAAGGAGTATCAACGATGGACGATATAAAAAGGTAGGAGGTTGAGGAGACCTTGATATTCGTCGTTGTTGATCATTATTATCATCATCTGATGATGCCCAAACATCTTGTACAATATTAGTTTGTTGTTCTTCATCATAATTTTCATCTTCGGAATCAAATTTTTGATCTGTATATTTTGTACGATGAATATGTTCATCACGTAAATATTGTTGAATAGCTTTGATACCTTGTTTAACTATTTCCAATGGTGGATGATCTAATGGATTACCATCGAGATTAAGAGCTGATAAACCTTTTACTTTACCTAAATCAATACATATATATATGTTAGAACCGAAATTAAAATTTAGTCAAATTCAAAACTTTTCTTTATTTTACAAAAAATATTATTTTCATATCAAATATCTACACGGTTGAAAAAAATATTATTCCAGGGGGGTAACGCTATAATTTCAAATAGGTGATATGATGAATTTTATACTAAATGAAAGCCCGTGAAAAATGGGATTTATTGATGCTAAATAGTAAGGGTTATGTAAACCTTTTAATATCGAACTTAAGAAACTTTCAGAAATTTTATACATTTTTGGGGGTGGAAAAGGAAGGTGCTAGTAATTCAAAAATGGAGTAAAATGTTTTTCTTGGATATTTTTACATGGTTCGATAGAGCT